GTACATATATGGATATAAGTAAAAGCTTGAACTCGAATATTTAATAAACAGTAGAGCCATCTGACAGATTTTATGAGAAACATTTTCATACATCGTAAACTTTGTACATTGATTAACGATTGACGATAATTATAAAATAAAGATTTAACTTATTAAAAAATAGTAAATTTAAATTTAGAAATATAAATATTTTATTTTGGTTATCTATTAAGTTTATTGTAGTTAAAATTTTCGTTTTATAATAATTGTAACATTCATCAAAATAATAATTTAAATAATTAATTAATTATAATGTAGTATTATTTAATAAATTATTTAAGAAATATAAGAACGCGCGATTATATTTACCTTAATGTATATAATGTTTCTCAATATCTTTTTTAAATAAAATTTCTTTAAAACTTTATTATCAACGGAATTATTATCAGTCGGCAAATCAACAAAATGTTCGAATCTGTAAGAATTGAATATAATGAATACTAAATATATACCAGAAAGAAATCTGAAAGAGAACATGAGGGTCTTTTACCTGTAACCGCAAAATGCCCCCGCGCACTACTGCCCTCTGAAGAAGTGGATGCCAAATATATAACAATATTCATTTTTTTGCGATGCTCCTGAAGGAAATAAAAACAGCTGAAATTGTTGAAATCTCTACTAATATTTGATAGATTTATTTCCATGATAATGATTATTTCCATTATTGCCATGATCGGCATTATACGCGTAAATTTAAAGAATTTTTGAAGCACAGAATAATTTACAGCAATAGTAGTGTCATAAATTAATTTTTTAGCTGAAAAATTAAATAATGATTAACAAGATATTTAATACTTTTAGCTAAAGTTGTATTTAGCGCAAATTATTTCGCAATATTAAGAAAATTTGCATGTATCTTTATGCATACACAATAAAGAATGTATAGAATATTATCAACCTTATTTTTAAGTAAATACCTTAATTAAATATTATACTTTTATTTAAATATGAAATATTAAAAAATATAATGAAAATTGAGACATAATATTGGAATATCACAAATACGCGAATAATTATTAATTGTGTTTAAAAGAACTACGCAAGAGTAATATAGGATTGAACAAGTGCTAGAGATGCACTAGACAAAGCAAAATGCGAAATGTACGACGATACCTATTTGTCAAAATCATGTAAAATACGAATAATTGAATAAACCGTGAATATTTTTTATACGTGATAGTTGGATATCCAAACGGTGTTCGGCGAACAGCGAAGGGTGAAAGCGCATCACGCGGCGCGATGGTTGATATCGTCATCACTTCGGCATTCACTCGGCGATCTTGCAGGGAGACGGCAGTGGTACGAGTCGATTTCAAAAACTTGTTTAAAATATAATTAAGAAATAGATTAGAAGAAGTTATTTGAAATAATAAATTCTTAATAACTCTTTTATCTTTTTTATTTAAAAAATATATCTTAAATAACTTTATTTTTTAAATACGACCGAGCTCTGTAGTATATTAGTGTATTCATAATTTGACTTTATATTACGTGAAACAAAGTAAAATCCAATTAGTATTTTATCACGAAATTAATGAAATAATTTCTCATATCAATTTTCTCAAAATTTAGCGGTTTAGATTTAGTGGCGTGTGTCATTTAATGTAATACCGTAATTATATCGTGGTGCATTAAAGAACATATATATATTTGACATTCATTTTATAATTTCAAATATTTCGTATCAACTAATGAGCTGATAAAAGGCAAGGCAAAATTGGTTTTTACTAATGTGGTTTTTTTTACAAAATTGCTTACGTGAAGTATTTCTGACATCCCAACATTATATCTCAATGTTCACTGCTCTCTCTCTAATGATTTACAATTAAATAAAGATTAATAATATTTAAAAGTAAACCAAAAGCCACAATGCATCAATCTTTTAATAAAAATATTACGTACATTGCTCGGATTCCGCGTAATAAAAAGTAATTATAAACTAATAATCGCTCATTGTAATATAATTAAAATATTTAAGAGTCTACGGATATTCATGATCTATATGTGTGCATACGAATCTAAAAAATAAAGCAAAACGTGCAATAAAGCCTATTCATCGGAGAACATTAAAAATATACAAGCAGGTCTGCATGCCGCTTTTCACACATTTTTTTTTTGAAACCTAATCATGACAAATGCTAGATAATACGAAACGTTATACTTTATAAATACTCACTGTAGTCACAGTATAGTATACGATTATTAGTTCGTACGATTAATTATTTATAAAGGGATCGAGATGACAATCATGTATCGCGGAACAGATATTTCATATGGTTCATTAATTTGGAATCAAAACGCGATGGAAAACAAAATTTATTACTATTTCATGATAATTACGGGCAACAATTTTTGTTTAACGTAAAAATTTTGTCTCGCCTGAGTATAACTCTCGATCATATAATTTGAACGGTATCACATGAGTCATAAAAAAAGCAACGTCCTCTATAAATAAATACTCTCATGCAAATAACACAATTTATACGATTCTTACTTTCACAGTTAATATAGTTTGTATAATTAACAATTTAATTAATTTTTTACTTCCGTGTATCTTTCGCGATATTATCTGTACAAACACTACAAATAATTGAGCGTAACTTTGGAACTATTTGTCGGTAATAAAAGAAATATTTCTCTTTTTTATTAATCTTTAACTCATTCAACGATTTCAGCGATTTATTTCTATCAGGAACATTGCGAAAGATGAATATTGTTGTGTAGTTGACATTCACTTCTTAATTCAGAGAGCAGTAATGGGGCATTTTGCGGTTATAGGAAAAAGGCCCTCATGTCCTCTCTCAGGTTTCTTTCTCTATATACTTATAAATTTAGAATTATCTGTCTTAGTCTTCTCGATCTGTTGCATTTTCTCTTAGTACATGTTTTGCATGAGAACATTATTAAATAATATTTGCACTTCTCTCTCTCTCTCTCTCTCTCTCTCTTCTTTTTTATATTTTTAGTCTTATTTCTTTGAGGCTTCAATTATTCCAATTTTTAGTTACTATTTTTATATGCATTGTTATAAAATTATATTCTGAACACGTTATGGTATAGTACAAACAAATATACGTAACATATAATGGGACAAAATTGAAGGCCGTAGATGTGTGTTACCTACCGGGCATATTCGTGGCTACATACTTCATCGTGCACGTTTGTGCACATAGAGGCGCCAGTAAATGGGTTCTATCTTACGCATGCGTCCATGACTCTCAGGCTTCTCTCTGGATATACTCTATACTCTTTACACATTTTACATTTTAAATCAATAATCGTGGCGTCACCAATGTTATTTACCCTTAATCGATTAACAACTTGCATTTGTTACTTTATCAACCTTTTTTAATATATATATTTTTTATAAATCAATAAAAATAATATGTAATATTGACAATTGATAATCTGTAATTGAAATAAATGTGTTAAAAATTTTATTTGACGATAATTTAAATTGCAAATTTGTTATAGAATATAATATACAGATAATTCTAAAATTATATGTTGTAAATATTACACAATATTTGATTAAATTTTAATTAACATTTTATAAATTTGGGATTGTTGTAAACTTATTAATAATTAAATCAAAACAATATATTTTATACTTCTATATATTTATAATATTTTTAGAGAGATTATTATTTTATAGTTATTGTAATAATTTTTTGTACACGATATTATTATCTATTAATTACTGTTATCAAAAATAACAAATTCTATTTGACTTATTTTACAGTTATGGTACGTATATTTTATGCACGATACCTTAATATATTTGCCAATTTTATGTTTTGAAACTTCACTGACTTCAATACACACAATTTTAATTTTAAGTATACAATTTCTTTTAAAAAGCGACGTATATGTATAATTTAATATACATATATTAATTTACTGTGATTATAATATTGCTGTCATATACATATACATCTTCCCCAATCTTTCAACTTGCATTTTTTAAATAAAATGTATTGGAATAATTTTATCAACTACATTCTTCTTTTGTGTGTGTGTTTCAACAAAAACAACCGATTTAATCAAAGAATGTCAGAACGAAATGTTTGACTGCACTTTGTGGCAGAAATGAATTAAATATGATTTCAGCTACGTTTTCATCAAGATTTCATGCAAGAAAACCATAATTGATAGTTTGCTAACATTGTATGGCATAACGTTGGACTATAAGCCACAGTTCGGCATAAAAGTGGCAGTGCACGACATCATGTAGGTATAAGACATGTATTTTAAAATTGTTGCGTATGCGAAAATATGGTTCTGCGTGGGGACGTAAAATTGCAAGTTTTGTACCACACTAATGACATGGTCGTCGAATGCATAGACGGAAGTTGCAGATGAAAAATTGAGTTGTGAAGCTATAGACTCTTTCGTGATCGTCAATAAAATCTTCTTATTTTGTTTTGGCGCAAAGAATATATTTGTTGTATTATTGTAGTGCTCAATATACATAGGTATACATATATGTGTACTTTTTAAGTACCGATAATCCAAAGGCACTAAATTTATCTTTAATTTATAGTTAATTTCTTTGTAACAAAAATCTAATTAAGTATAATTATTCCATAATTATTTAATATACATATGTATATAATTTGTTAACTAAGAATTATGTATTTGTAAATTATAATGAACATTATAGAAACATAATATTTTTTCTATAATATTGAAAGTAATCATAAAAGAAATAAAGAAGTTATATAATTTAGATAGTACAAAAACGTTCTGTATTAATTGTATAATAAAATTGTTTTATTGTATTTTTATCAAATATTACAAATAAAAAAGAAATGAACGTTTTGACGTTTACATTTAAAATTCTTACCATTTGCGGATGTTGGCCACCGTATTCATGGACGACACGATACAAACGTATAATATATGATGTATATACGGTCCTCATAGTTTTGCTAATAAATACATTTACATTATCGCAATTGATGGATTTAATTCTGACTGTGGACAATGCCGATGATTTCTCCGAGAATTTCTATGTGATGCTTGCTATGTTCGTATCATGCTGTAAGATGTTCAGTTTATTGAGAAATCGTAACAACATTGCGATGCTGATTGATATTCTGATGAAAAAACCATGTAAGCCTATTGAACATGATGAAATAGAAATTCGACAGAAATTTGACAAGATTGTACAGTAAGTATCTTAAAATAATTAATGATTAATTATTGTTTAATATAACATGTTATAAAAATATTACATGTTGTAAAGAATTAAATTTCTTCATTATATTACAAATATTATAAAAAGAAAATAACTATGACGTAAAATATTGCATAGTATATGTTATATACTTAGACATTAAGTAAGACATGTACTGTAGAGGAAAGTCGCCAATACTGACATAGGTCTTCTAAAGTGACATCTCCTCTTCTCAGGAACTAACTATTGCACTTTATTAATACTAATAAAATCATGATCTGTTTAGCTAATTAAGGAAGTACAAACTCTAAATAATTCGTGTATATTTAATTTTTTTTTCTTTTATAATTATTGCAAAATTACAACAATATTATAAAAATTGCTTTTATTATCTGGTGGAAGACACTTTTTAGTTTGTACTTATGTTTCTAAAGTTTTATTTTTACTTTTTGTTTAAGAAATATTGTCTAAAAACAAAATTTTTCCGGTGACTTTCCTCTACTTTTATAAATTGATCTAATTAAAGATTAACTTTTTACATGACGTTAAACTAAAATGTTATGATTCAATAATATATTAACATTAATGTGTATGGAGAAAGAAACGAGGAAAATTCGAAAATATGTATTTTACAGAACAAACACGCTTTGCTACGCGACTTTAGTAGAACTAACATGTGCGTTTGCAGTAGGAACATCTATGTTTAAAGACTACAGAAAACACAATCTAGCTTTCCGAGCATGGTTACCATTTAACTATTCTTCGCCAATGTTATTTCGGATCGCTTACTTTCATCAATCGATAAGCTTGACCGCTGGATCGATTCTTCACCTCGCTTGCGACAGTCTAATTTGCGGATTATTGATGCACATTTGCTCCCAGTTGGAAATATTGGAATGTCGTTTGAAAAAAATTATCAATAAGCCACATATTTTTCGGGAATGTGTCATACAGCATACATGCATTTTCGAGTTAGTTCTTTTTTTATCATTACTGTTATATAATAATTTATCAAAATATGAATAATTATAAACATATTTGAAATTTACGTCCGGTTGATTCTAGATTTGCATTAATAGCAAATGAAAAATTTAGATTAACAATCACCGTCCAGTTCTTAGTGAGTATGTTAGTAGTATGCTTCAATCTGCATCACTTGACGCAGACGAGTGTGTTAAGTGCGAAATATGTTCAAATAGTATTATATATGTTTTGCATGCTGACACAAATCTCTTTTTATTGCTGGTACGGAAACGAAGTTAAGTTGAAGGTGTGCACGGATATATTTTTTACATATGATTTTTTTTCTTCATATTGTATGTTTATTTATTTATGTTTGCATATACTTTAATATCTAATATGTCAGTAGTATGTGATAGATATGATGTTAAGGTAAATTATTGTGTTATAAAAATTAATTTATATTTCATACACATAAAATAAGATATATGAGAGAGAGAGAGAGAGAGAGAGAGAGAGAGGGGGGGGAGAGGAGAGGAGAGGGAGAGGAGGCGGGAGAGAGACGGGAGAGAAAATACAAATACTTACATTTTGAATTAGATTACACATTTTCTTTCGTTTTATCATATTTTTTATCCATATAGATCAACCTATAAGAAAAACATAAAATTTAATCTCTCTGTTTTATTTTATAATTAAAATTTCAGAACTTAATAAAATTTTTTGTACGTATTTTTAAATATAGAGTCGACAACTGGTCAGCAATATATTTGAAATGGAATGGTTTGTGTTGGATTATCGTGTGCAAAAAGATTTGTCAATAATTATGATGCGTAGTATCGTACCTATTGAGTTCACCAGTGCTTATGTTATCTCTATGAATCTTCAATCATTTGTCAGTGTTAGTATAAATCTTTATTTTTAATTTAAAATTCGTAATGGACTTTAAATTAATAGCTAAAGGAAAGTGAATTTCGAGCAATTTGGACAGAATCATTGAGTTCAAAATTCAATTTTATTCACTAAATCAGAAAATCAGAGTTCAAAATGTTTTTTTTCTTATTTAAAAAAATGTTTCAAGTAAAATTGATATGATTTAAAATAAATAATAGTAATTAATTAAAAAAAAAGTTATTTAAAAAAAATTATATAACAGTTATCGACATTTTTAAATAAAATTATGTTTTTTTTACATAACATGATTTTTTTAGTTTTCTGCATATTAAATAAATTTTCTATGATGTACATTTTATTAGGAAAAAAATTATTAATTTGCATAGAAGTACGTGATAAGCAAATAATTATGTTTATTGCAGTTGCTCAAGACGTCATATTCTGCTTTCAATATACTTCAACAAATGCGATAATAAAGTAGTAAAAAAAGTAGAAGAAAATCAATATTTATATTTTGTATTTATATCAATTTTAATTCCTGTATAAAACAAATGTGTATAAAAATAAAACTTAAGTTAGATTATTGTAATCAATATCTTCATGTATTAAATAAGATTGTACTAAATAAGATTACTACATAAATAGCTCAAAAGCTATACAATATTTTCTCCTATTGACACTATCAATAGGTAATATCTTTTTAATACATATTTTTTTAATTCACCTTTTTCATTAATAATAATATGATTACTCTTTATATTAATATGAGAAATTGTATTGAGCAATTTTCATGGCCCAACTGGGAAAAAAGTTAACATTTAAAGCGAGTTATCATTTGATTATTCAACGATAGTACTTTACATACTTCCATTCAATTAATAGGCTCGCTTATGGAACTATGCTACATAAAAATTGATTTAACGTTATTACTTGAACTGTATATTCTTTCTATAGTATTTTTACTTACGATACGTGTCCATATATATAAATTTATATTTCTACATATTATTTTATATTAACGTGCATGTGTCTATACAAGATTGTAGTTTACTGCAGTGTGATAAAATATTGAAGTATTTGACTGGATGGAACACAACTGGATGTACGACATATGAACATTGCATTATTTATTACATAATTTTCAATTTCTGTTTTTTATTCTTTGATTAGAACTTATAGTTCTTATACATATTTTAACAAAGTACTTTTCGTATAAAATATTATTATATCGTGACTTCGTATACAATATCACATCTTTATTTAATGATTGCACTGTCTCTGCATGAAAATGTTATTACGCAAAGGGCACAATTATAGTCTAAATAATAAAAATTCTCGTATGAAGAAGGAAGCTGAACATATGTCGTATTATTATCGGAAAACTGCGAGAGCCTTTTTGCAAGAGACTATAGACATTTGGTGTCAGTCTCTCCAGATTTCACTGTGCATTGCAATATCACTATAATATTAACTTTGTCACTACAGTATAGCTATTCTTAACGAAATTAATTGATAATTAGTTTTTAGTAACGTATAATTTGTTTGATAAATTAATTTATTAAAAATAATTATATAACGCATAACAGAGAATGTAAAATTTTTGATAAATTATTTCTTTGTTGTAAAGAACAACTTTTTAAAGTAAAAAGATAGACAAAATCAAAGTTAAAATGAGCTTATTAGAATTTACATTTAAAATCTTATCGAGTTGCGGTTGTTGGATACCGAATTCTTGGATGTCTCCACATAGACGATTAATATATCATGTGTACACTATTTTTATACTTTTACTGATAAATACATTTACATTGTCGCAATTCTTGGATATAATTCTGATCGTTGACAATTCGGAAGATTTCATGGATAACTTTTACATGTTGCTTGCCATGATCGTTTCTTGTTTCAAAATGTTTAGTCTGTTAATAAATCGTAATAACATCGCCATGCTTACAAATATTCTTATCAATAAACCGTGCAAAGCATGTGATACAGTCGAAATAGAAATACAACATAAATACGATAAGCTAATTGAGTAAGCACATTGTAAGACTATCATTTTGTATTTATATTTCACATTTAATTATATATTAAAGAATTATATAAACAATTTATATTTGTTTAAGAGATCGATATAAAATTTTATTAAAATTTATAATATCTTATTAATTATTTTTTTTTATTAAAGAGTACTATTTTTCAACAGTATTATTTTTTGTATTTTCTTAGAAATTTTGTAATTTTGTAACTTTCTTATAATAATACATTCCTTTTTTAACAAACAGTTGATATGTAATGTACATTGTTTCTTATCAAAATTATTGTTTAAAGAATTAAAGTGTATCACTAACTTTTCAATTTGAAAAATTAACAGATTTATTTAACTAGAAGTTATCTTGATTAAAAAGTATGAAAGAGAGATTATCATTAAAGAAAGCGTTGAATATCAAAATGAAAATGCATGCAGCTGTTTTACAGGACAAATACTCTGTATTATATGATCCTAGTTGAATTAACGTGTGCATCCACGGCTGTAGCATCTTTGCTCACGGATTACAGAAAAGAAAAGTTAACGTTCAGAGCGTGGCTGCCATTTGATTACTCCTCGACAATGCTTTTCCATTTTACGTATTTTCATCAATTAATAAGTTTGACAGTTGGATCTGTCTTACATGTTGCTTGTGATGGTCTTATTTGCGGATTATTGTTGCATATATGCTGTCAACTAGAAATATTAAGTTGTCGTTTGAAAAATATTGTACATAATCCAAAAGTACTTCGCAATTGTGTTGTTCAACACAATCTTTTATTTAAGTTCGTTTTATTATAATTTTTCTTTAAATATTCTTTTAATATACATAAACAAGTTGAATAAAAATGTCTTTCTATCTGAATAATTTTTTTATTTAATATATTTTTAAACTTGTTTAAAATTTTTTATTTCTTTGTACATGCAAATCAAAGATTTTTATACATCGTAACTTTTTCATTATTATGTTTTTTAAATATTTCCATCAATGTGATAAAATATGTTAAAATGTGTTTAATTGATTTCAGATTTGCGTTTCTATTGAACAAAAAATTTAGGTTTACTATCGCTTTTCAGTTTATAGTAAGTACATTAGTCGTGTGCTTTACTTTATATCAGCTAACCAAGACAAGCGGAAAATTCGTTGAATTAGGAATGTACATGTCGTGCATGCTGACACAAATCTTTTTGTATTGCTGGTACGCAAATGAAGTAAAATTGAAGGTAGTTTTTTTGGAATGGATATCTCCCTATGTTAATGTTCCTAATTTAGTTTTTATTTATTAACTTTTTATTTTTTTACATTATCTAGATACAATATATATTGACAAATATACATATAATGTACACATTTTATTTATACTAATGTATAAAATGCTTTTTAAAGTGCACAAAAATTCATATGCAATTTGCGTATTAATTAAATCTCTTTTTGTTATATAATTAAGACCTTAATAAATAATCATTCTCATAAATAGAGTCTACAATTAGTCAATAATCTATTTGAAATAGAATGGCTTACATTAGGGCAAGATACAAAAAAGAATTTATTAACAATTGCATTACGTAGTAGAATGCCAATCGAATTCAATAGCGCTTATATTATACCTATGAATCTGGATTCATTTGTGGGTGTCAGTATAAATAATTAATTTTTATATTACGATAATTATTTTATGATAATTAAAAAATGTCCATTTACTTTTAAAGTATAAATATTAAATTATTAAATAAATTTTGAACTTATTGAAATACAAGATGACTTTGTACGTTGCAGTTGCTTAAGACATCGTATTCGACCTACAACATACTTCAGCAAACGCAAAATGACAAAGCTAACTAAGAAAATTGTTATACATATTCATTGATATGTATATACATCATATAGACTTTTTTCATGAAAATAAAATAAGAATTAAAATAAATAAATATTTTATTTAATGTTAATAATTGATTATTATATATAATTAATTTTTATATAGTTAATCTTGATATATTAATGTTATTAGAGAAAAGAAACACAATTTAAATTGCATATTGTATTGTATTAGATATACAGAATGTTTCAAACTTGCATACCCCTTTTAAAATGAAAGGAATTGATTTTTATGAAAAATCTCAGAAATCATATTACGTTACACAGGGAGAATCCTGTTTGCCTACAAAACGATTGCTTACAGCTTCTTTTGCGCTTCGTTTGCATACAACGTATTGCACACACGACAATATTGTACACAGCGTATTGCACACACGACAATATTGCACACAGCGTATTGTACACACGACAATATTGCACACAGCGTATTGCACACACGACAATATTGCACATAGCACATTGCATACACGACAATATTACACACAGCACACTGCACAAACGACAGTATTGCACACAGCACATTACACACACGACAGTATTGCACACACGACAGTATTGCCACACGACAGTGTTGCATACAGTACATTGCACACACGCTATTGGCTTAGTTTATATCGTGCACTTGATACACGTACTAACTAGGCCAATAGCGTGTATACAATGTGCTGTGTGCAATACTGTTGTGTGTACAATGTGCTATGTGCATTCTGTTATGTATGCAATACGCTGTGTGCAATGTGTTGTGTGCAATATTGTCGTGTGTGCAATACGCTGTGTGCAATACTATCGTGTGTGCAATATTGTCGTGTGTGCAATACGCTGTGTACAGTATTGTCGTGTGTGCAATATATTGTATGCAAACGAAGCGGTGTGCAAACGAAACCCTCTCCATTATACATACGGTAGTTACATGTGGTTATGTAACTACCGTATTGTGGCATGTGGTTGGTCATGGGTTACGCCAAGAACAGTTAAAATTAATTTTGTCATTACTTACTTTTAAGATCATTTCAAGATTAATGGAGGCATTTTCAAGAAAAAATTTCCAAGATAAAATTTCTTACTTTTTTGCATGTAAGCCGAATCTGCAATTAATAAACAATACACATGTTACATTAAAAAAAATTTAAAGTTAAATCTAGATAGTTCACTTTCGGAATCTAAAGTTGAAAATATCATCATTAGAAAGAGCATACTCAATCCACTTATCAAAATTTTTAGTATTATTCATAAAAATTACTTTCCTTCATTTTAAAAGGGTGTTCAAGTAATTCGGAACCTGTGTATTCTTAAAAAAATACTATGTAACAATTTTTTACTTACATTTTGCGTCCGTATTTGTATTATCTACATAATTAGAATACTGTTTTTTTATTTAAGAATGATACAACTCTAGAAATGATTTTTGGGTTATTATCATAAATGAGTTCAGGTATAACACTACTTTGTTAATCATCAAAAACTAATTTATCTGTATAAAAAATCAACTTAAATAGGGTGATATTTTAAAGGTAATTTTTTAAGTTGTGAAACGAAAATGACATTTAATTATGACAAGAACATATTCTTTC